TCTAAAAAAAAGTACAGTTATTTGGGAGTAACAGTTTACAAACTGTAGTTTGGAACATATGCAGACCAGCGTGGTCAGGGGTATATCTGGAGAACAGAGGAAAGGCTAAAATTTTACTGGAAAAGAGAAAAGTTATTAAGTTGTGAACATTCATTGGTGCCAGCAGTTACCGGCTAAAATTTGTCTGAAAGTCATAGCAATCTGTTTTGCTGGATTGTTTTCTTTTTTCTTTTCTTTTTTTTTGGTACTGTGAATTGACCCAGGGGCACTTAGCCACCGAGTCACACTTGTGCCCTTTTTAAATTTTTTAGTTTTATTTTGAGACATGGTCTTGTCTTGCTGAGTTGCCAAGGGCTTTGCTAAGTTGCTGAGGCTGGACTCAAACTTGCAATCCTCCTTCCTCAGCCTCCCCAGTTGCTGGGATTACAAGCAAGCGCCACTGTGCCTGGAAGACAGCTGTTCTTGTTAAATGACTAGATTATCCTTTTGCAGTGAACTTGTCCTTGTGATAGTTCCTGTTTCAAGAGAAATTGTGCACGAGAGCCCTCCCTTTGTGGTTTGGCCAGGGTTTGACACATGTGGCTCTATTTTGAATCTTGACAATTTTCATATTGGATATAAATTCATTCAAATCCAGACATTCTGAAAAGAACGACGTGGATGGGGGAAGAGCCAGACAGAGGGGGTCCCTGCTACCCCTTCCCCACTCCACCCCAGGTGACCTGGGTTTATCTCTTGGTTGTAGCTCTGTGTGGCTATGTGACTGGGCAAATATCTCCCCAAACATCAGTTTCCATCCCCACAGGATCACCCAAGGTCCTGTGGGGTTCAACTGCCTGACCTCAAGGATTCCTCCCAAGGACTCCATGTGGAGGTCCTATTGGGCTCTTAGCTGTAGATGAGGACTGTGAGACAGAGAAGGGTGAAGTGACTTACCAGTGTGGTCCCTGAACCTGGATGGGATGCTTTGACCACATGATCCTCCCTCAGGAGCACTTAGGTCCTCACCAAAAGTGCTCTTCTGGATAACACACCAGAAACAAAGGCACACACTGCCTATTTCCCAGTTAGGGCTGGCCCCACCTGGCCCCCAGGAATCTCTTCTGGGACCTTTTAGCTCCATTGCTGAATTCCTCCAGTTGACAGTAAAGATGCCCCATCTACCATCTTATGCTCCAGACCTCCAATCCTGGCTCCCTGGGCCCTCATTTTCTTCATCTGTCAAAGGGGTCACATGCAGCCTTGGGTTTGAGTCCTGAGCACCGTGTTCAGAGCAGTCTGTGCTCTGTGCTGAGAGGGGTCAACCTTTGTCACGCCTGCTCCCAAGACTGTCTCGAGCTTCCTTAACAGCCACTCACATATAAGGACAAATTTGTCGTCATCTGCGTGAACATTTTTGAGTATGGCCTGAGACAGCAGGAGAAGCGGAAAATAGAGCTGGACACCTTCAATGAGTGCATCCAGGAGGCCATCCAAGAAAACCAGGAGGAGGGCAGACTCAAGATTGCCAAGTTCGAGGAGAAGCACTTCATGGTAGGTCCTCCCCAACCGCCTGCTCTGAGTGCCTCAAGCCCCTCCTGCTGTAGATAGTCTGCAACTCCTGTGCCCTCTGACAGCCCCTAAGGTCATGTTCTCTCTTACATGTGCTGGGGATCATACTGCAGCTAAGTGGCAGAGTCAAGGTCCAGCCTCACCCCCTTACCACCAGCCTTAGCTCCCTGCTGCTTGACAACAGAGCAGTAGGTCATCCCCACTCCCACCATCTCATCGTTAGTTTTATAATGATTATTTGTAGCACTACTATGATGACTATGACAGTCTTCCTAGTCTTTGTGTCATTCATTCATCTAGCAGAACTGTGCTAAGCCCCACCTGTGCCTGGTCCTGTGATGCTCAGCCATGATGTATGTGGTTCCTGCCCTTGGTGAGCTGTTACCTGCTAATATGTGCAGATTAGGGCCCAGGCTCTCTCCCCTGAGTGAACCAAGTGGTCAGTGTTCTTCCAGAGGGCAGGCAGGGAGCCTTGGGGACTCCCTGGATGCCCCTTAACTCAGGCTGAAGAACCTAGGGAAGGCTGGGGTTTAATGGGATAAAGAAAGAGTTGACCAGGCATGATAGAGAAAAATTGTCCCACCCAGAGGAACAGCAAAGAAGCAGCCCTGGTGTTCAGGACCTTGCCCAAGCAGAGCCAAGCACAGACCATGGTTTGTACTTGATGGCAATCGATTTTTCAAATTTTTGTTATTGTCATTATTTGAGATGGTGTGTTGCTGTGCTGCCCTTGAACACCTGGGATCAAACCATCCTTTTCCTGCCTCTTGAGCAGCTGGAACTACAAGCACACCGAGTGCCCAGCATAGACAGCATCATTTTTTAAAAAATATTTATTTTTTAGTTGTAGTTGGACATGATACCTTTATTTATTTATTTTTATGTGGTGCTGAGGATCAAACCCAGGGCCTTGCACATGCAAGGCGAGCACTGTACTGCTGAGCCACAACCCCAGCCCCAGACAGCATCATTTTTAAAGATAGTACTGTTAACTTGTCCTAAGTCACAGATCTCCATGAGACTCTAAGGAATGCTATGGACCTCTCTCCTCAAAAAACTGCAGGTTTACGTATAACTTCAGAGGCTTCAAGAAGCCCATAAAGTCACTCCTGGCTGAGAACTAAGTTTAAAGTAGAACAAAGTCCCCTAATAATTCCAGTTCAGATACAATGGAGGTGGCAACTGACTCCCATATGCTTCCCAACCCTCGGACACCCCAAACCCTTTCTTACCTCATAAGCCTCTCATATGGGGCCTCATGTTCTGAGTGAATTCTTAAGACCCTCCTTTTTATGTTCTAAGGAGGGGTGTCACTGCATTCAACCAGAAATTCAAAACTGCCAGCAGGGGGACACATTTGGCTCACATATGTGTTTTATTTGGCCTGAAAAGGCTGCAAACCATTTCAAGCATCCTGACATTGGAAATGTGAAGACTTGCCAGGAAAATCATAGCTGCCAGCTTCTTTGGAGGCAGTTACCATCAGGGTTGTCCTCTTTGGACTGGCCAGGCCATGCTTCAAGTCCCCCAGTCATTCAGCCGCTTCTGACATTTCTCTCTTTCTTTCTCTCCATCCCTCCCTCCCTCCTCCCTCTCTACCTTCTCCTTCCTTCCCTCCTCCCTCCCTCCCTTCCTCCCTCCCTCCTCACTCCCTCCTCCCTCTCTCCCTCACTCTCCTCCTCACTCACTACCTCCTTCCTCCCTCCCTCCCCCCCTCCTCCC